CTGACAGCTCAGAACCTGGAGCCTGCTTTGGGTTTTGTGTCTCCTTCTCTCTCTGCCCCTCCCCCGCTCATGCGCGCGCGTGCACAGGCGCTCTCTCTCTCTCAAACATTAAAATTTTTTGAAGAATTGAGAGATGATACACATTTGGCCAAAAATGATCCAATATGTATATAATAGGATCATACACACACACACACACACACACACACCCAGAAAATCCCAAAAGAACAGGTTAATGGCTAAAAATTACAATTCAAGAATAATTCCCTGAAATACAGTAAGATTTGAAGCTATAAATTGAAAGGGCAGCCAGAACAGCCAACACCAAATAGGCTTATAAAATGCTAGATTCAAGTGAAAAAGAAAAATACCCTTTGAGCTTGTCCAAGTGACTTACAAAGAAAATCAGACTTTGATGAAGTTTTATGACAAGTCAATGGAATAACAATTACAGTACTCAAAATGTGAGGCAAAGATTTTATAGTCTATCAAACTAATCTTCGTTCTAAAAGTCACAAATACTAATGTGTAGGAACTTGGAATATTGTTTCCAAGAATTTTCCTGAGGAAAGTACTAGACAAGCTTCAGACAATGAAACCTGAAAGATAAACAGAAAGATGGTAAATACTAAATATATGGCTGATTATAGAACTAAATGAGAGTTAAGAGAGTTTAGCATGTAATAGCAATGGGCTCTTAACAGTCTAGAAAAAGCATACCTTTTTTTTTTTTTCTTAATTTTTGTTTTTTAACGTTTATTTACTTTTGAGACAGAGAGAGACAGAGCATGAACGGGGGAGGGTCAGAGAGAGGGAGACACAGAATCTGAAACAGGCTCCAGGCTCTGAGCTGTCAGCACAGAGCCTGATGCGGGGCTCGAACTCACGAGTCGTGAGATCATGACCTGAGCCGAAATTGGACGCTTAACCGACTGAGCCACCCAGACGCCCCACCTTACTTTTTTTATTAGAGATTTTATTTCTGAGTAATCTCTATACCCAACTTGGGGCGTGAACTCACAATCCCAAGATCAAGAGTTGCATGCTCATGGAGCGCCTGGGTGGCTCAGTCGGTTAAGCGTCCAACTTCAGCTCAGGTTATGATCTCACGGTCTGTGAGTTCAAGCCCCACGTTGGGCTCTGTGCTGACAGAGCCTGGAGCCTGCTATGGATTCTGTGTCTCCCTCTCGCTCTGCCCCTCCCTTGCTTAAAAATAAATAATAAACATTAAAAAAAAGAGTTGCATACTCCACTGACTGAGCCAGCCAGATGGCCCAAAAAAGTATAACTTTTTAGTGGGAGAATGGGGAGAGCCTGTACAGAATAACATTTTATTAGTCATGTTGGTGGTGTCATGTTGATTGTTACTCTGATTACTGTTGTATGTAATCTGTATGTAACTGTTGTATGTTGTATGTGATACGAGATAAAGTGGTTGAATATGATACTCTATACCTTGTGTCCTTGAAAGTCAGGATTCTTGGTGTAGAGGAAAGGAAGTATAGATATAAGATGTTTGGTAAAAACTCAAGTTTCTCAATATGAATTAGAAATATCAGGGCACGTGGGTGGCTTGGTTGGTTGAGCATCCACCTCTTGTTTTTGGCTCAGGTCATGATCCCAAGGTCATGGGATCGAGCCCCATGTTGAGCTTATGATTGATTCTCCCTCTGCCCCTCTTCCCTCCTTGTATGCAATCTCTCTCTTAAAATAAATCTTTTAAAAAATCTATATCAGTGAGAGGTCATGTTATGATATATTCTTTGAAAACGGGTATATATTTCCAGACTCTGCTCATGGAAAAGACCTAAAAGCAGTGACCAACCTCATAGCAATTAGCATCCCTAGTACCCAGATTGTAGTCTTGAAATAGCATTTCTGGACAGGATATTTGTAAGATAAGCTTGGAACATTTTGTCATACTACATAGCAGAGAAGTGATTAAAGATTACTAGAGCTGTATCAAAAGTATTCAGTAGCCAAATTGAAGATGTTCCCACTGGCCAAATATAGATGTTTCATGCATCAGCTAAGGATATTAACTGATTAAATTTGTGAGTTCTCAGTGATACCTCACCTTAGAAATAAGCATGTAGTCTATCTTTCCCTGTGAATTTTACCATTGAGTCACCAAATAGATGAGAGGAAATTCCATTTTATGCAAGTATACTAGCTAATAAAGAAGGAATGATAAAACTGGAAGATCATTGTTTTGCAGCTTGTAGTAAGTTAATAGTTTTAGGCTATGAGCATCCATATCTGCCAGCCTCACAAAAAGAAGCATAATCAGACATGTGTCTCCTAGTGCACAAAGCTAGCAAGAAGTTGCCTTTCCAAAATAAAGATGTGTATAGGGGAGGGGGGCAGTTCTGTAGCCTCTAGAACCAACCACCAATTTATAGGAAATATAGAGGTATAAGATATTTTAGAGTAACCTGTAAGTTAAGAGAGTTAAGAGATATTTTTTTGGAGACCAAATAATCATTTTGAGGGATATACACTTGGGTGGTAAAAGCAAAACAAAGAGGTGTTCACCATAAGTCAGGATAATAGTTATTTTTAGAGGGGAGGGAGGTTTGTTTTTGGGTTTATGTTGTGGTTTTTTGTTTGTTTGTTTTAGGTTTTATTTATTTATTTTTGAGAGAGAGCGAGCAGTGGGGGGCAGAGAGAGAGGGAGACAGAATCGCAAACAGGCTCTGCACTGTCAGTTAATCTGTCACTGTAACTCAGATAATGACCTGAGCCAAAATCAAGAGTCAGACACTTAACCAGCTGAGACACCCAGACACCCCTGGTTTGTTGTTTTTTTAAATGAGGCTTATAAAACGTTTTCTGGTTTGGATGTTGATATTCTGTTGCTTGAACTGCCTGGTGATTACCGGAGCTTTTGCCCATTTGTTTTTTGTAATATTTTGTATCTGTGTTGTATTTTACTATTTTTAAAAAACCAATGGAAAGAAATAGAAGGTACCACACATAAAGTAGCTCTGAAAACCCTAAATGAAATGTGACCAAGAATAAAAGCTTAGGGGCACCAGGGTGGCTCAGTTGGTTGGGCATCCAACTTCGGCTCAAGTCATTATCTCACGGTTTGTGGGTTTGAGCCCCATATCAGGCTCTCTGCTTTCAGGGCAGAACCTGCTTCAGATCCTCTGTCCCCCTCTCTCTCTGCACCTTCCCCGTTCATGCTGTCTCTCAGTCTCTCTCAGAAATAAACATTAAAACAAAGAACACAAGCCTGTTAAAACAGGAAAATACAGCTTTTATCTGTGGGGACTCCCTTTACCTGTATTTTTCTATCCAGAGGAGTGTATTTACCTGTCCTTCATATTTTGTCACTAATTTGTCCGTTTATATATTGAGTTAGTTGTTCAGTATGTATCTGTGCTTATCCTATTGTTGTGGTTCTCAACCTTGATGGGTTGAAAATATATACCTGCTGGGGCTCCATCCCTGGAGATTCTGATTCAGAAGGTTTGTAGTGGATCTGGGCATCTTTCTGTTGTTTGTTTAATGTTCTGTGGGTAATTGTGCTGAAAAGCCATTTTCCTACTCTATTACCATATTGTAAAGTTTGGGCTTGAACACCAGTGTCATACTCAACCTTGTTAAGTCCAGTTTATTGCTCTTAACACTTTCCCATCCTTCCCCTCATCTCTTCCTCTATTCCTGTTACCTTCATTTCTCTCTTTATCTATGGATCTGTGGAATTGGTCTCCTAGTTGATGTTTAAACTTCTCAAATACATCCTTCAAGCTGCTTACCAGACTGTTAAAAACTTAATGATTATGGATTATGTTAACTCTGCCCGAGAGATGGATCTTTAATACCTACAGGATAAAATTTAGTCTCCCTAAAAACTAAACTGCAGTCTGGCTCTTGCCTACTTTGCAAGACATCTCTTTCAGCACAGAAGGATCCCCTCCTTCCCTAGTACTAATCATTCTAAACTATTTGCAGATTTCTGAATATTCTATTCTTTTTCACGCTTTCCTGTCCAGATGTTCATTGAGCATTCTGTTCCTGGAATCACCCATTTTCCAACTTTGGACTTCATCTTTAAAGATTCCTTCTTAGTCCTTTAACTTCTAATGAAACCTTTTCTGATAGCACTTCTTTTTCAAGCGGAATTGACCGTTCCTCTTCCCTAATACGAATTTTTATCATAAACCGTGTAACCTTTTATTATGCTTGTCTACAAGTATATCTTTGTAGTGGGCACAGGGGCTCTTCTTAATTGTCTTTGTATTTCTAGCACTGTCCCTGGCACATTGTCAGCCTCTGCCCTAAAGCAGTCTTAGAATAAGTTACGAATACTACACATTTCACTGTCCAGATTGTCCTTAAATCTGAGAAAAGTGATCTACATTCTTGTTCATTCAGTTTTCTGTGCCTCCTTATTTGGCGTATATATTCCTATTGGCAGCTGAGGACTTACATTTAATCTGTTCATTTTAAAAAAACAAATTTAATCCTCTTACATTAAGGGAAATGAAACCCAAGAGAGCCTAAGATTAAGATCTGTTGATTTAGCATTTCAATATCTTCTGCTTACTTGATTCTGATTACAGCGTTAAATAAGTGCTGCTCATATATAATTATTTGATAGGTTCCATGGTGATGGCTACTTTGTAAAAAGTGCCAAAATAATTAGCTTTCTTTATCAACCATTAATATCCCTTTTTTCCTAGCCTTCTTTGAATCCAGAAGCTGGCAAACAGAATCAGCCATGCAGACCTATTGGGACCCCTTCTGGAGTGTGGGGTAGGTAGATTTTGCCATTTTAAAGGCACACAACTTTAAATTTTTCTTCGCATGGAGAAGAGCAAAAATTCTTTATCCCTTTTTTGTTTGTTTGTTTCTTTATCTCTTTTTTTCTCATCTCATCCATTTGCACATGGTAACTAACACCTATTATCTCTTACTCTGCCCGCCGAAAATACCATTGAACTGTAATGGTAGTGGAGTCCCAATACAGATAATTGAGAGCTTGTAGAGCCCTGAATTTGAAAGATTTTAAGCAAAGGGAGAATAATCTAAAGCTTATAAGTAGTAATGTTTAATTAACATTGCTAATTCATTTGTAACAATTCAATTGAATTTTATGTTGTTATAATTGTCTCCTAAATATTTGGCAGGCATATATAACAATATGTACTAAGCATTCTTTCATATTATGGGATACTCTTCTAAAATGTTCTTTGAAAGGCTGCATACTACCACATCCTATAGAGTATTTTGTTCAGCCAGGTTACACTTGATTTTTTTTTTTATTTGGTGGGGGTGGTTAGGGGGCAGGTTTGGCAGTTAAATGTTGCTTATTGTAGAAGGCAAGGTGAAAACATACACATATACCTGTTTATGTGTACATGCTGGGAGTAACTAGCCTTATAAAAAATTAACATACAAATCAATGTATTTTATACCAAATGTGATCTGTAGTTTTGAAATTGTTGGCATTTACAAATGAGACTCCCCTAGTTCCTACATTAGACCTATTCAGTCAGTAGTTAGGCATCTTATTGGGAAGGCTTTAGCATACCTGAATACTGGTTTTGGATTTTGAGTTACAGAATTAAGGGTGCTTGTTGTACCATTTCCCCTTTGTTAATAGTGTAAAGCTTTGCTCCACTTTGATGAGAAGGTCCCATGGTAGCCTCCTTTTCCCAATTTCCACATCTCTCTCCATTCCCCTGCTGACAGGAACTGCCACCCTTGGATATATTCTTGATGGCCTGAGTGATCACACCATACACTAGACATATTAAGCCCCTGAAGGACTACTAACATCTTTGGGCTTCCTGGTTGATTTATGAATTTAGCTTCATATGTTGCCTTTTTTCCTGTAGTTCTCAAGTATTGTCACTTTTGAGAATATCTGTTAAGTGCACACCAGGAAATGTTTGTCCCTCAGTCTCACCTGCCAGCTCTCTGTTGAAAGTGAGGACTTCATATAAACTGTGCTTCATGTTAACCATTGCTTGACATTCTTTTGTCTCTTCGCTATTGTATTTCACAGAAAACCCACCTAGTGCCAAGCAACCTTCCAAAATGCTAGTCATCAAAAAAGTTTCCAAAGAAGATCCTTCTGCTGCCTTCTCTGCTGCATTCACCTCACCAGGATCTCACCATGCAAATGGGAACAAATCGTCAACCATGGTTCCAAGTGTCTATAAGAACCTGGTTCCTAAGCCTGCACCACCACCTTCCAAGGTATGATTTGGAATCTGTATAAGAACCTTATACAGCAGGAGTTTGGTAATAAATTAGGAAAAAAATTAGTATTTTTATTTTTTTCTGTTGAATCATTCGCCAGATACTCATTCAGTACCTAATATATATACTACTGAATGAGTATCTGGTGAATGATTCAACAGAAAAAAAAAATAGATAATAACTATATAGATATCTATATAGTTATATACAGATATCTGTAGATATGGTTTACTCTGTCTCCAAACTCTCTACTGCTGCCAACTGCTTTCTTAGTAGGCTTCTCATTCTCATGAGCTTTGTCTCATAAACCTGTTTCTCTTAATTTGCTGTTTCCATTAATAGCATCAACATCCGTTTGATCACTCGGGTGATTGTCTAGATTGGCTGCTTCTTTCCTCCTCATTACTCATTCCCCTCTACCAAGCAGTTATAAAGTCTGTGTCAGTAACTCCCTCTGTGATGTCCTGTGCCCTTTTCACCTCCCATTTACTGTTGTAGTGTCCTCTTCTATTTCTTCATCTCCCTACAGTCATCTTGTACAGAACTGCCAGAATGATTATCATAAAACAATTTGAATATAACACATCCTTTCCTCAATCACTTTAGCGGTCCCAAACCACCTACAGAAGGGTTTGGTAAACTTTTCTGTGAAGAGCCAAATAATAAATATTTTAGGCTTTGCTGGTCACTTATGACATATGGTCTCTGTTACCTTTTCTCCCTTCCCCTTGTGTTTTTTTGTTTGTTTTACAGTGCTTGAAAAATGTAAAATATTATTAGCTCATGGGCCATACAAAAACAGGCCTCTGACCCACGGGTTGTTGCTTGCCAACACTGATCTTATAATAACAGTGGCTAGACTCCTTGGCAGTGGCATGTATAATTCTTTATAGCCTAACTCTAATCCATCTTTTATATATTACTATCACTTCTTTCTTTTACCTGGGAAATTAGTTATCCTTCAAGTTCATGTTACCTGCTCTGTGAATCCTTTTCTTTTTTTTTTTTTTTTAATTTTTTTTTTTTTAAAGTTTATTTATTTTTGGGACAGAGAGAGACAGAGCATGAGCAGGGGGAGGGGCAGAGAGGGGAGACACAGAATGTAAAGGCTCCAGGCTCTGACCATCAGCCCCAGAGCCCGCGCTGACTCGAACTCCTGGACTGAGATCGTGACCTGGCTGAAGTCAGACGCTTAACCGACTGCGCCACCCAGGCGCCCCTCTGTGAATCCTTTTCTATCACATACATCTAAAGATCTAATTCATCCTTTTATCTCTAATTGAGTATTGCTCTTGTCTCTTATCATAATATTTATAACACTTTATTGGATCTCTTTATTATAATTTAAAATTTTTTTAGTGTTTTTTAAAAAATTTGTTTAGGGGCACAGTACAGCAATAACTAGAATTTACTTTGTTATTGAGAGGAATACCAGTGAGCATTTATTCATTTCCTCTGTGTGTAAGCACTGTGTTTGGTGGTTATGAACAGTACAGAGAAGTACAACATGGGTCATGATACTCCATGAGCTGAAAATCTGATTAACAAGATATAACAATATGAAAGGTCATGTGATATATGTGAAATAAAATAATAACATGCTAATAAATTCTAAACAGACTTGGAATAACTAAATCACTTAAACACTATTTAGGGGGCACCTGCGTGGCTCAGTCGGTTGGGCATCCAACTTCGGCTCAGGTCAGGATCTCACAGTTCGTGGGTTCGAGTCCTACATCGGGCTCTGTGCTGACAGCTCCGTGCCTGGAGCCTGTTTTGGATTTTGTGTCTCCCTGTCTCTCTGCCCCTCCCCTGTTCACGTTCTGTCTCTGTCTCAAGAATAAATAAACATTAAAAAAAATTTTTTTTTAAATAAACACTATTTAGTGTTCAGTTTAGAGGAGCAGCATCAGTTCAGATTATGACCATTGAGGAAAATTTTATTGAAAACTGTCTTTTGAACTGATCTTTGGAGGATGATTCACATTTGGATAGGCAGAAAAGAGTCTGGGGAGTATTGTACATAGTAAGAAGAGGTAGTTAAATGCAAGTTCTGAAACCAGAAAACACTAGGCATATTTGAGGGATAGTGGATGATCATTTTAATTACTCCTGGGAGCACTGGGGAAATATCCAGACTGGGGGTCCTTATCCTAGTGGTAATGAATGAGGCTTTCAGGGTAGATAAGATCTCTAAGGGAAAAGGATGGAAGAGTAAAGAACGGGAAAATAAAACTTGGAGGAAATATTTAATATCTTATAAATATTAGGAAAATAACAATATAGTCCATAAGACTAAGAAATTATAATTCAGACATCAAAAAAATACTATGCTATCACAAAAATCTGGGTAGGTGAGTTTAGATAGCAACTGGGGTTGTCAACGCTTGTCAGTTGCTGCTGACCATTTGAGGTAAATAAATGAAAAATGGGTTTTGACCTTAGCAATTGGAAAGGTTTAGATGACCTTTGACTTCAGGTTTTATGAGAGTGGTGTAGGGACAAAACAAGATGTCAGGGGATCCTGGAATTACGTGGGTGGAAGTAGAGGCAGTGGCAACTTTTGAGACTTGACAGTAAAAGGAAATAGAATATATGTGGTGGTAAAGTTAAGTGAAAGGATGAAGAAATCTGTAGGAAGAAGCCCTTGGGAGCAACTTGGAATATACTTCCAAGAAGTCATTAAAGAATCATGGCTCAGGAAGAAATGAGTGGGAATAAAACTGATTGACAAGTTGAATTATCTTTGAAAGGGTATAAGATACTTGTTTCTCTGATGTAGAAGGGAAAGAATGTGAATTTAAGTCAAGGGAGCAAGTACTATCAAAGAAATAATGTGCCATGAATATTAACAGCAGGGCTTTGGAGTAGATAGAGTTCACTTTGCACATTCTGTATGATATGACCGTGGTCAGGTTTCTTACTAAGTCTCAGTTTGATCATCTATAAAATGGGGTAATAGTACCCCTCTTTTAAGGTTTTTGTGAGGAATAGATGAGAAGGTTTTATGAAGTACTTAAAGCTGACATATAGTAAGTGCTAATAAATTATAGCTATTATTATCAATATGCCATCACACTTTATGTTTGCTCCGTTCCTTAAGAATTTATAAAGAATTTTTATGAGTGTTATTTAATTTGAAATGAGTGCAAGTATTCTGTTAGACTCTAGAGAGTATAGAAATGAGTTAAGACAATGTCATGTCCTCAAACATCTAGGAACGGTTTTGAGGGTGAAGAAGTGGCAAGAACAAAAGTCAGGACACAGGGGTTAAGATTAATTTAGCCCTGTTGTGTAGGACTATCCTAAGTGGAGGATAGAATGAAAATAGGAAAACTAAACTGTTACTGTCCTTGTAAAAGGTAATGAAGCCTGAACAGGGATGATGAAAGTGGACAGAGAAGGGAGGTGGTAAAGTCACACTGTGTGAAGCAAATTAGAGGCCAAAAACATGACACCACATGTTCTTCTGGGAAACTGGTATAGCTCTGGAGCCGTTTCACTAGAGGTGTAAAAGAGAGGAAGGTCAGATTTCAGGAACCGTTAATGAGAATGGTTGTAGATATGTGAAAAGCGAGGTATTAGAGGAAGGAAGAGGTGAGATGACTGGAAAACGTGGATTTATCCATTCATTCATTTTCTCTAGACGTTGAGTATCTGTGTATTAAAACCTGTGTCACTAGAGGCACAAAATAATCTTAGGGGTGCCTGGGTGGCTCAGTCGGTTGAGCATCAGACTCTTGATTTTGGTTCAGGTCATGACCCCAGGGTTGTGGGATCAAGCTCCCTGTCGGGCTCCATGCTGAACATGTAGCCTGGTTGAGATTCTCTCTTTCTCCCTCTGCCTCTCTTCTCTGCTCCTGTACTCTCTCTCTCTCTCTCTAAAATAAAACAACAACAACAAACCCGAAAATAATCTTAAAGAGTTTGCTGTCTAGTGGAGAGACAGATATAAAAAATAAATGTTCTCGGGGCACCTGGGTGGCTCAGTCAGTTAAGTGTCCAACTTTGGCTCAGGTCATGATTTTGTTGTTTGTGAGTTTGAGCCCCATGTTGGGCTCTGTGTTGACAGCTCAGAGCCTGGAGCCTGCTTCAGATTGTATGTCTCCCTCTCTCTCACTCTGAAAGAGAAATAAACATAAAAAAATAAATAAACAATAATAATAATAAATGTTCTTCTCAGAGTCTTTATAGATAAGGTCAGATTTGAACTGGGTTTTGAAGTAGAAAAGGAAAGAATTGCCATTTGTTGACATCTTCCTATGTTCCAAGACCTTCATTAGGCCTTTTACGTATATTCTATAACGTTTACTCCTCTAATCCTAGGATGTAGAAAATTCTGTAATATGAGATTACATAGCTAATAAAGTGATGGAGCCAGGACTCTTAAACCAGGTTTGACCAACTTCAATCCAGAGCTGTTTCCACTGCTCCAAAATGTCTACCATCCTGAAGGATTAAAAAAGAGGAAGTTGAGAATTTGGATTTTAGAGTCAAACTTCATGCCGCTCTCTAGGGCTATGATTTTCAGCAAGTTACTTAATTTTGCTAAACTTGTTTCCTTAAAAATAAATTGGAGCGAATTATATCTGTCACATAATTGTGGTAAAAGAATGAAATTAAAGTTTTAAAAGTACTTGGAATATAATATTGACATGGCCTAAGTCAGTAAATAGTTTAAAAACAGTAGAAGTTTGGGACACACCTGAAGGGCTGGCTCAGCCCATGAAGCATGTGATTCTTGATCTCAGGATCATGAGTTTGAGCCCCACATTGGGCCTAGAGATTACTTTAAAAAAATAAAAAAGAAAACAGCAGAAGTTTGTTAGGGAGCAAGTAGATGGGGCTTTTGAGGCAGAGGAACCATTGTTATCCAAAAAGAGAGAGGAAAGAAAGGGAAGGAAAGGAAGGAAGGCAAAACATGGCATGTTTGGGAAAAGACGAATGCTTAAGTATGGCTGATAGTTGGGAATTGATGGGGGGAAGGACTATTAAAGCCAGTCCAGTCATGGAGGTGTTTATAAAAACTCAGGGGAGACAGCACACGTGGGTGGCTCACTTGGTCAAGCATCTGACTTCGACTCAGGTTGTGATCTCGCAGCTCGTGAGTTTAAGCCCCAAATCTGGCTCTGTGCTGACAGCTCAGAGCCTGGAGCCTCCTTTTGGATTCTGTGTCTCCCTCTCTCCCTGCTCCTCCCCCACTTGCACGCTGTCTCTGTCTCTCTCTCTCAAACATAGATAAACATTTTTTAAAAAAAAACCTCAGGAGAGAGGTTAAGTGTAGAGATACAGTTTTACATATTATCATATGGTGTCAACAATTTAAAGGATTAAACAGTTACAAATAACTGGTTAACTGAGAAGCATATTACAGCAGAACACTGAGGCTAGAGCCCTGGAGAATGCCTCCTGGATCCACTGAAAAGACGCAAGGGAATCCAGAAAGGAAAGAGGGGACAGGTTCTGAAAAGATGGGTAATCGCAATCTCCAAAAACAGATATTTTTATTAAGAGCTGGCCTTGGAATATAATATGACAACAAGATTTTTGGTTATTTATTGAAAGAGCTAGTTAATTAATTGATTGTTTAGGGAGAGAGTGCAAGCAGGGGAGGGAGAGGGGGACAGAGGATCTGAAGCAGGCTGTGCCACCCAGGTGCCCCAAAAGAACGATTTTATTAAAATGGGGATGGAGGTGAATGTTGCAAAGAATTGAAAAGTAATAATGAGCAAGTGTAAGACAGCAGATACTGACTTAATGCAGGAAAGCTTGTCAATAAAAGGATGGTAGTATAAAGGAAAATAAATGTGTTTGGTTTTGTTCACCTAGCTTCAGTAAGGTGGCTTAGCATGTTTGTAGATAAAGTGGAAGAACTTATTAGAAGGAAGGGAGGAAATAACTGATAAATTCTGAATGGAAAGAGAATGAACCAGGTGTAGAATGGTAGAAAGGGAGTAGGAAGCTGTTAAACTTGAGGTGCAAAGGAGGGAATTGGGGAAAGTTTGATCTAGTGACTTCTGACTTCTGAGTCCAGTGGGAGAAGACAGGATCATTTGTGGTAGAGAGAGTTGGGAGTGCTTTGATTGGAGTTTAAAGGAAAGGGAGGACATTTTTTTAAAAAGCTGTGTTGAGGGGTGCCTGGATGGCTCAGTTGGTTAAGCGTCTGACTCTTGATTTCGGTTCGGGTCATGATCTCATGGTTTGTGGGATCAAATCCAGCATCAGGCTCTGCACGGGTGGTGTGGAGCCTACTTGGGATTCTCTCTCTGCCTCTCCCCTGCTCATGTATGTGCACTTGGTGTGTGTCTCTCTCTCTCTCTCAAACATTAAAAAAAAAAAAAAAAAAAAAAGCCAACCATGGTTGATATGTGGTTCACTCTGATGGATTTCTACATATATAATTTCTCTACTAAAAGAGGGCCCAGGGCATAATGGTTTTTGTCCAGTGAGAAGTCAGCTATATAGCATAGTGTTTGAGTTACTGAAAATTAAGATTAAATTGGAATAAAATTGGGCAGAGATGTAGGTATCCTGTTGCATGTAACATTGGTAAACTTTTCATACTACTGTGGCAGAAATGCAAGTGTTTGTGTGTCCTGAGGTGACAATGTTAACAGAAAGACAAGGCATCTGGTAACCATCTACAACTCTGTGGAAGCCACTGAGGAACTATCATCTTTGATATTTAGCCTTATATAAGCAGCCATCTTAGATTTTGATGAGCACAAGAAAAAAAATTAATCTCCATTCCAGTAGGGTCATTGTCTCTCTTATCTGCTTGCATGTTCTTTTTGGAGGCATTGCAAAAAAACAATACTACATACTATTTGAGTAACCTTGGACAAATTGTATAACTTTCTTAAAAGTCAATATAATAATTATACCTAATTAGAATAAGAATGTGAACAGTTTGATAAGCGTCTGGTAGATACTCATTTACATTAATTCCTTTCCTAAAGCCTATAATATCCTGTTGAATACCAAGAAAGAAATTCTTTTCACTCAGATCCTTCCTTTGTCCTGACCGTCTCTCCGTTCTGATCGTTTCATTCTGGAAAAATGGACATTTTTCACTTATCCAGCCTCACTCCATTGATGTGCTTTGTCTTCCTGTCTCTTCAGACAGTGTGATTGACTCAAAAAAAAAAATTTTCCAGCTTCACTATGCTGCCATCCAAATTGGAGCTAGGGCCAGCATGACAGAATAGGCCTAAGCCCCACAAGGCCAAGCAAAGAAAGGATCAAACCAGAATTGTCTAGCCATTTACATTGCCTGCTCTGGCCTTCTAGAACTAGCTTCCTGCCATAAGAGTTCCTTCTGGGAAACAAAACATTTTGGGGTCCAGTAAGTTTGGAAAACACTGTATATTATATCTGCCTCTCAAATTCATATACAATTAAATGCTTTGAGAAATAGCACAGTGAAGAAACCTGTTGAACTTTATTCACTTCAGCTTCTCCCACAGTTATTGAACCAGAGCTTTCTTTTTGAGAAATACCTATTAATATCCCATGACCCTTCTGGTTCCCATCTGCTTTTTTCTCCTTCAAGTGCCTAACATCAGAAAGAGGTTGCATGCCTCCCAAACATGTTAAGATGGGTAAGCTCTTGGAACTCGTGTTCTTACATAACATTTCACTGTTTGCTTTCTGATCTTCCAGGCTGAGCTTCTGTCTCCATACTTGTTTTGACTGATTTATTCTTTCTTCCTGTGTAGCCCAGTGCATGGAAAGCTAACAGAATGGACCACAAATCAGGATCCCTTTCCTCGAGCCGGGAGTCTGCTTTTACCAGTCCAATCTCTGTTACCAAACCAGTAGTACTGGCTGGTGGTGCAGTTTTAAGCTCTCCTAAAGAGGTGAGTGAGGACAAGGCCAAACAGCCTTTTCTAAAATTGCCATTTCTCATTTACTTACATATGCTAAGATACACGGTATGACATGTACAGCTCTAATTCCATTTCCTTTGTAGCTGTGCTTCTCTCAGAGTCATTTCTTGACCCCATTAGCGTCTAAAGATGGACAGTAGCTGAGTAGTTAGTAGTTGCTCTGTAGTAGACTATGTTAGACCGGCATCATTTCTCGAGACTATAAAAAAATGAAAGAGATGCTGTATAAACTATACAGTCTTAACTGCAAAAACCCTGCAAAGCTGAAGTCTGTTTATATGAAAAGGATAGTTTGTTTTTGGTAAAAGACAGACTGGTAAATAGGCTGCCAGATTCTGGAAACCACTTCCAAATAGAAGTGACCCAGAGAATTCCAGTTCTTGCTCTTTGCTGTCAGGAGCAACCTATTTGTGATATTTGCCCAGAGTCCCTCCAGCACTACTCCTCCAATTGAGATCAGCTCCTCTCGCCTGACCAAGCTGACCCGCCGAACTACCGACAGGAAGAGTGAGTTCCTGAAGACTCTGAAGGATGACCGGAATGGAGACTTTTCAGAGAACAGAGACTGTGACAAGCTGGAGGATGTAAGACCATAGGAATTTTCTGGGCAACATAGGGGTTTTCCCGTGTTGTATTTATGCTTTTTTAAAGTCTTGAATTGGTCGGTGCTATAAGAAGTTGGTAAACTTACAGAAGTTTTTATCAGTTAGGATTATATATAGTTGCAATATAAGAAAATCTGACAGGGTACCTGGGTGGCTGAGTCGGTTAAGCATCTGACTTTGGCTCAGGTCATCATCTCATGGTTCGAGAGTTCAAGTCCCACTGCGGGCTCTCTGCTGTAAGCACAGAGCCCACTTTGGATCCCTCTGTTCCCCCCAACCTTAGAAATACATTTTAAAAAATTAGAAAATCTGACAAACCCGTAAAGCCAAGAGGGTTTTGTTTTGTTTTGTTTTTGTTCTGTACCCTACAACAGGAGAGTTAGAGGTTGCAGTTTAAGAGGGTGAGCCTGGGGCACCTGGGTGGTACGGTTGGTTAAGTGTCCGACTTCAGCTCAGGTCATGATCTCACAGATTGTGAGTTTGAGCCCTACATCAGGCTCTGTGCTGACAGCTCTGAGCCTGGAGCCTGCTTCAGATTCTATGTCTCCCTCTCTCTCTGCCTCTCTCCTGCTCGTGTTCTTTCTCTCAAAAATAAACATTTAAAAAAACTAAAAATAAAAAAAATACGAGGGTGAGTTCCTTGGTATTATCAAGAAACTTGTAAGTTTTAGTCAACTTGGGCTTGGCTAGTTATGCACCTCTATACTACCCATCCATGTTCTGGTTAGAAAAAGGACAAAGAGGGGCGCCTGGGTGGCGCAGTCGGTTAAGCGTCCGACTTCAGCCGGGTCACGATCTCGCGGTCCGTGAGTTCGAGCCCCGCGTCAGGCTCTGGGCTGATGGCTCAGAGCCTGGAGCCTGTTTCCGATTCTGTGTCTCCCTCTCTCTCTGCCCCTCCCCCGTTCATGCTCTGTCTCTCTCTGTCCCAAAAATAAATAAACGTTGAAAAAAAAAAGAAAAAGAAAAAGGACAAAGAGCAAAAAACCTGAAAGAGGATGACGTCTCCCTTCTTTAAGTGCTTTCTTAAAAGCCCCATCCTGCAATTTGCATGTATACAACATTGGCCAACTGTCAGATAGCAACATCTAGCTGCAAGAACTCTAGGAAAGTGAACTTTTTTTTTTTTTTTTACCCTGGGATAATGACCTGAGCCAAAATCAAGTGTCGGACGCTCTCAGTTGACTTGAGCCACCCAGGTACCTGAAAGTAAACTTTTTAAAGCTGAGCACAGTTCTTTAGACCAAATGATTGCATGGGTATTGCATAGGGATCTAATAGCTCTGCCACCATTGACATAACCTGAAGTTAAGATCCTGACTAGTTGGTAATACTTTGGAAATCTTAGTAAGGTGAGCAAGTCCTCATTACTAAATAGGAAGACTTTTGAACTGAAGTTGTTTTCTGAAAAGCACTTCCCTCAATCCTGACTCCTTAATTTTGTAGATTACTTTTCTTGCCACAAAGGATCATTAAACCAAGTGTGTCCTTATTTCAGTTGGAGGACAACAGCACACCAGAACCAAAGGAAAATGGAGAGGAAGGCTGTCATCAAAATGGTCTTAGTCTCCCTGTAGAGGAGGAAGGGGAAGTCCTCTCACATTCTCTGGAAGCAGAGCACAGGTAAGGGAATATCAGATCACAGTGGATGCTGTGTATGGCCTGCGAGAAGCTTGAACATACTTAAAACATTTCACATCTGGTCTGGCATACAGAGAGAAGTGTCCATTAGCACAATAATGTGTTCTTTCTGTATGCCCCTGCTTGACCTATTGCCCGCTAGGCATTGCTTTACAGATTTGCCAGCTTTTTTTACACTTTCCTCTCCAAGGCTTTCATGTAGTTTAGTTTCAGATTCAGTTTATAACTCTGGGTGGAAAGGGGAACCGGTTTTCTGGGACTGTTGTGCTGGCCGTTGGGCCCTCCTAACCCAAGTGAGCAGTTCCAAGAGGCCTTTAAAGGGCCTTGGGAGGCATGAGACCCCCATGGGTGGAGTGCATTCTTTTAATGAGGGCCTCAAACACAGAGCAGCCAGCTCTCTGGGCAACTAACTAGATGGCAGATAGGGCCTGCCATGTTTGGCAGTCCCTTCCTGAAAGGAGGTTCCTGTCCAGAATAACTTTAGGAGTCAGCAAGATCACAAGAGTATGAAGGAGACCACAATGCCATGAACTTGAAAGAAAACTTAGGTACATGTGGAACTGTACTAATTTGCTTACAAGAGACAAAAGTGAGATTTCTTCCTCTGTTTTGTCTATGGGATAGAGAGGGCCCTGCATTTTGGCTCTTATGCAATCTTATTTTCTGCTCTACTATCTCTTCTCTATAGCCCTTGTGCTCTGGAAAGAGCAACTGTGGAGATCCCTCATTTAATTCAAGCACCTAAGTTGCCATAATTAAAGTTTACCCCGCTGGGGAGGAAAGAAAAATCCAAGTGGGTACCATTGCCCCTAGACAAGTAAGTTTTTTCTGAAAAGTTGTGGGCTTCCCACTTATGCTTAAAGGTGTCATGTTTTTTTGTTTTTTTTGTTTTTTTTGTTTTTGTTTTGCCTTACCTCCCTCTACAAGGTTATTGAAAGCAATGGGATGGCAAGAGTATCCTGAAAATGATGAGAATTGCCTCCCCCTCACAGAGGATGAGCTCAGAGAGTTCCACATGAAGACAGAGCAGGTATGTCATAAACCTTTCCTGGAGACCAGTTAATGACCAGGAGAGGAAGGAGTCAGAACAGTCCTTGTCCTTAGGGAGCCCCAGTTTAGTGTAAGAAAAGGACCTTGGAGAAGAAAATATAAAGTAAGTTGTCATAGTAAAAATAAAGAGAAGTGTATCACTTCCTAGGCAATATGGATCTCCAGTAGGTGGATACAAAAACTAGGTCAGTAGTTTGCAGATTTCAGAAGGTAGTATAGTCTTTCATCCTGGCAGCTCTAACTCCTTATCAGAACCACAAGACTGTGTCCAAAGCTAGGGGCTCAGCCCTTGGTCTCTAGAGAAGTAAGCTCACCCTCCCCTGCCTTCAGCGTTATGGTTTCCCTCAGATACTCTGGCCAGAGCCAAGAAACGACATATTTGAATTCATTCAACAAATGTTTGGAGTCTTTGAGTGAAACACTGCCAGATCCTAGGGTTTATAGCAGTGAGCAAGATCAATGGAGTCTCTACAAACCTCATGGAGCCTAAATTCTGGTGGTATTTATATTTATATTTTATTTACATGTATTTGTATTTATGGCATTTATGTTTAAAGCACAAATAACAGTATCAAGTCCTATAAAGAGAAATTACAGGCTGACAGAAAAATTTTGCTACTCAGAACTATTCCCTCAGTCATTGTCATCATCTGAGAACTTGGAGAAATAGAGAATCTGAAACCCTACCTACTGAAATCAGAATCTGCATTTTAAAAAAATCATTAAATGATTTATTTGCACATTAAACCTTGAAAAGCACAGCTATATGAAATCTTTAATCTCTCAGAAGGGCGCCGTCCACATTCTGCCTAGAATTGAGTTGAGGCCTGGCCTTTTCCAGGTCCCATTGCCAGTGTCGTTTTTGATGGTTTTCTTTTTTCTTTCCCATGCTAACCATAGCTGAGAAGAAATGGCTTTGGGAAGAATGGCTTTTTGCAGAGCCGCAGTTCCAGCCTGTTCTCCCCATGGAGAAGCACTTGTAAAGCAGAGTTTGAGGACTCAGACACGGAAACCAGTAGCAGTGAAACATCAGATGACGATGCCTGGAAGTAGGCATATAAATGTTCACAAATCTGACCCAGGAAACTCAGCTTGTGTGTTTAGAGAGTATACAAAAGAAATTGTTCTTTTCCTTTTCTTATGTTGTTGTTGAATACTTCATGCACAAGGGAAATAATCATATCCCAAAGAGAGAGCAATTGGCTTGTTTAGCTTTTGTTGTTGTTCTTCCCTGTTATCTGCTTAATAGAGAGAAGTTTGTGTGATGGGAAAAATTTTTTAAATACACACACACAGACACAGTATATATGGGGCGATGCACAGGTGGGAGCTGGCAGTGCAGAGAGGAGGAGACACCGGTCTGCAGCAACAGCTTCTACTACCAGCCCTTGGGGCACTCACCCCTGTGCTCAAGCAATCATTGTCAATGACAAAGTGACTATTGAAGTTATAATTGTATTAAATTAATGCTAATAATTTGGATATTTTATTTTATTTTTGGCTGCTCGGGTGACAATAGCCCTTAACCAAGCATACATGGTTTTCTTTTTCTTTCTTTTTTTTTTTTTTTTTTTTTTTTTTTTTTTTCCTTTTTGGGTACAGCTGTAAAATATTTGGATATAGGAAATGTGTTATTCTTGCAGCCTTGATATTCAGGGTGGATTGTAAAATATAAATTTTTGTGAGATTTCAAAGATTAAGATTATTTTGATAACATTATTTACAGATTTAAAAGATGTGGTTATCACAAGTCTGTTGAGGGGGAAAACTACTGCATAAAATAACTAACTTGGAATAAATATTTTGCATCAGTTTGGATTGTCTTGTGTAAGAAGTATATTTCCTTTAAAATTAGATGAGTGGATTCTTTGGGGAAATACTTTTAGAAGTCTGAGGGAAATCTGAATTCAGACACACCTGTTTCTCCTTTTAGCAGATACTTTTTTGATGCAGAAGAATTTGTGCAATAAATTACCCATAATAAAATCAGAAACCCAAGTTTCCTTCCTGAAACTGATTTTCACTGCTTAAGTATTTACCAGTGTGCATATTTTAAGGAAGGTTTATGTCTCCGTTTCCTGCTAAATAAGAACATGGGAAAGGGTTTGAGCCAGTGCTGTCTGGGTGACCAGTGGAGGAGGTACATTTTTTCATTCAATGTACACTTCCCCAGCAAGGCTCTGGGGATGCAGGGAGTGCCCAGCCCAGTAGGAAAGAAAATAAAGTTACATTAAAAATGAAACCTTAGTCCAAAATTTGATGGACCAGGTAGAAGTTAAACCAAACAGATACACTGGCACTCTTTGGCCATCCCTACAGTGGCTATAGAGGTCTAAGATCATACTCTAATAGGAGACCAGCAGCAGAGTAACAGGCCTCATTGCATGTTAGATGACTAACTTGTAGTGTCTTCAGAAGGGGTAGAGGCCTAGAGGCAGAAAGACTAGCATGACATTTGTTGGATTCTAAAGGCTAGGAAGGCAGAGACCCTATCTGCCACACTATTATATAGTCTCTCCTGCTAGTGTTACAAGTAGTCCAAGTGGAAATGTTGATTGAGCAATAAAAACTATCATATTTCATTGAATATATCTATTTGAAGACATTCTTTTATGTAGTAATAAGAAAACTTGGCAGTTACTACATTGTCGATCCTGATTTCAGTGTTAAAATATGGAAAAAACGTGCATATTAGAATCCATGAATACTATAAATGAATTAAGTTGCAAAAGTATTAAACCAGACACGAGAAATTGGTTGAGATAGAAATATCGTACCTGTTTAGCCTTGGGCTTTGCTCCTAACTAGCTTTGACAGAACAGATTTCTAAAAATGTGCCCTTCTCCCTTGGACTTAAGCTGGACTGAGATCACATGCTTTGAAACGCTTTGCAAGCTGTTGCTTGTCATATCTTGGCCTTACATGGGGAGGGGGTGTTGCTACCTTAAATCTCTATCTTGTTTAAAAAGGGAGTTTGGAAACATGGGGCTAAGTCAGAGCTCCTGCCTCTGATGGATGCAGATCTTTGGGGAGGTGGCAGAGAGATCTGACCCACAAGAAGGGCCTCCCTGGCCCCGGCCAGCTCAAGTGAAAGCTTACCCTCATCTGATAAATTTATAATGTTCTCCCTGAACTTTCCATTCCTTGGCCTGTGTGGACTGTCTTTCCTCTATAGCCAAACAAAACAAAACCCAAAAAACAGGAATCAGGGAATGGGTGTTAGGGAGAGACCCCTGGCCTTGGTGTGACTTGGTTATGCAAAAGCTGTGGTTTCTTCCAGAGAGGCACAGTGCAAAGAAGAGCTTTTCAGCCTACAGGAAAGACAGGTTTCCTGGAAGAAAACCCAGAAGGGCCAATTGCTTCCATTCCCAGGTGTTCCCTAGAATGGAGAATGGGGCTAACTTGGGTAACCTCCATTTGGGGGAAAACAAGAATGAACAAGATGACACCTCCCTGCTGGAGGCTATTCAGTGGCCAGCAATCGGGAGTAATGGGGCCCAGCCAGCCTAGGAGACAGCTGTTTGTTCCCCTTTATATAAGCAGAGAAACGGGGATATTAAAAGGGACTTGCCCATGCTCATGTAATTAAGTAGAGCAGTCCTTGTGACACTTTTTAGGGGCTCCTCCCAAAGGTGGCCTGCTTTTTCCCGCCCATGCTCCAGACCTGCCTAGACTTGTAGTTGTTTCCCAGGTTGCTAAATCTCCTCCCCAAACAAACTTAATCTAAACTCAGTAAACCTGGCCTTTCCTCTCTGCCTCTGGCTTTCTGTTTCAAACTCCTCTCCCATTCCCCTGCCCTCTGTCCTGTCTTCTGCAGGTCTTGTCTGGTGTCAGGAAAGGGATCCCATTCCATGGCCTCCTACTCTGGGGAGCCAGGGCTCCTGTCCTGTGGGTCCTGTGACATGGTTTTCCGCTCCTGGGCCCTGCTGGCTACCCACACTCAGCGCTTCTGCATTGGCCATCTGACCCGAGAGGTAACACCTGGTGCACACCCCTCAACAGGCCGCCTCTGGCCAAACCGGGCGGGTATTCAAACAACTCTTTGAGGATTTCTCATCCCACACCCTGTCGCCAGGTTGTGCCACAAGGACAACAGGGCATCTCAGACCAAGAGGCCAGCAAATTGGCTCTGAAGAAGCTAACGGAGGAGGTACTCTTGGCTCAAAATTCGGCGTCCTCCCCAAGCCTACAGATCAGGCAGATTATAGGTCGGATTACTCCTAACAGAGATTGCGCGTTCCTGTTATCTCCAGGTGCAGCGGCTGCGGCTGTACCTACAGGAAATGCAACCCTGGATAACAGAGGTCCCCCGAAGATCAGAAGGGCTCCGAAGACGTTGTGAGGCGCTGACTCAGGGCCCCACCCCAGAAGCTGCTGGAAGCCCGGGAGAGAGGCTTTGGGCATTGCAAAGGACTCGCGCAAAGCGGATGGTGGAGACGAAGGCACAGAGCCTTGCCCTGGAGCGACGCAACGAGGGTGAGGGGAATGGAGAGGGGGACTAAGGGCCCGCTCCGCCCCTCGCCCTTCGGATTTGAGTTTGTTGGCCCCGTTGCGACCCAATCCCTTACCGCCTCAGAACTGAGCCAACGCCTCCAAGGTTTGGCCCAGACCCGGGGCGGAATATCACGCCTTATCGGCCTGGAGCGGGAGCTTCGAGAACTCAGGGCAGAAGGCCGGCGAACGCGGGGAGCTCTAGAAGTGCTAGGGGCGCACGTTCAACAGCTACAGCCAGAGTCCGGGTGAGAGCCGGCTCGGGGAATTCGGTAGCTCAGCTGAGCTGGCTTGGGGGCGGGGCTGGGGCTGGGCGGGACCCTCGGGAGGGCGGGACGCGCGAGGCTCCAGCCCCTAAGCCGCTGGAAAGCTGCGAGTGTTAGGTCGGGAAGGGGCGGGGCTTCCGGAGGCCTGGCGTCTGGATCTGTAATACCTTTTCCGCGCCGGTATCCCTCTACTCCAGGACCGGGCTCAACCCCTTGCGACAGGCAGAACTCTGTTGTCCGGTACTACAGGCCAACCCAGGGACTCTGGCTGCCGAGATCGGGTGAGGTCCCGGGCCCGGGTACGGCATGGGCGAAGCGCTGATCAGCTCTGGAAAGACGCTGCTGCCTTTTTGTCCCCTACTCCCTCCCTAGGGCCCTGCGTGAGGCCTATGTTCGAGGCGGGGGCCGGGACCCCGGCGTTTTGGGCCAGATATGTCAGTTGCAAGTGGAGGCCTCAACACTGGAGCTGCAGCGGTTGCGGACTCGCAGGGGTGAACAGGAGGGGTCCGGGGGGCCGGCCAGGAGTGCCTCTCAGATGCGGTGGTCTTAATTGTGGGAGGAGGAAAAGGGCGGTTGAGGGAGGTGATGAGGGAGGCATGAGGACCACCTGAGCAAAAACCCAGAAGTATAAAACCTAGGTGGTCTTTGTGGCAATGGCTAGAATGTTACCTGACAAGTCCAGCCTTGTCCAAAGAGACCTAAAGCTGGAGAACTCAGAATCTCACCAGCTGGTCACCAGAGGTCAGAGGTGACAGGTCGGACTTTTCATCGCAGGAAGGAAGGCAGATGCCACACTGGGGGAGCTTCTAGTAGTGGAAGCTGAAAACCGGCGCCTGGAGGCAGAAATCCTGGCCTTGCAGATGCAGAGAGGCGCAGGCCCTGCGTCCTGGCTTCAGCGAGTACCCGTCCCAGGTCACCTAGCTCAATCAGACCAAGCTTGGAAGAGGGGGTTAGAGGGACCATGTATGGGGAATGAGGCTGGTGTTTACGTGCTGTCCGTCCTTGTTTACGTGCATCTCCAGGTGTCCATGCACCTAGACTCCCGGGGGAGGGTTATCTCAGCGCTGTTACTTGCTGCGTCCTGCTTAGGGGTGCCCTACTCTTAATTCTGCTCCCAGGGCCTAGGAAGCTGCCACCTGCTGCGAATCCCAGCCCAAGTCTGAGAAGGAGGGAAGATCCCCCACGCCTCCCACCCCGGGTGGCTCCCCCACTGCCACCGATTCCACACCCCACAGGTGTCCTATTGAGTGGCACAGAAGAGGCTGTGAGGACCCAGGGGTTTGGTGGGGGAGGGTGGCAGGCAGTTCTGTTTTGTGCAGTTGGGGAAGCATGGACACCTGGGAGGCTTTCTGGGGTCCACTCTTTCCCAACCACAGCCGCTGCCTCCTGGAACCATGACCAGAAACCTAGGCCTGGATGCACACTTCCTCCTGCCCACTTCTGACGTTCTGGGCCCTGCACCCTACGACCCTGGGTGAGGCGGGCTTCCTCTTTTGACATCCTCTGTGACTTGGCCATCACTTTTAATTAAGGAGACCACTAGGACAAGTGAGGGTTGAGGGGGGCAAGGTTAAGAGGAGCTGGGGGTGTGTTTATGTGTAGGTGCCAGCTGAGACCTGTGTTCTTCAGGGCTGGTCTGGTCATTTTCTATGACTTCCTTCGGGGACTTGAGGCTTCTTGGATTTGGGTACAACTACTGACCGGTTTGACCCGAGATGGACAGGATACAGGAGGGGTCACAGCATTGCCCCCAGCCCTTTGCTTGCCCCCACCTCCAGCTCCTGGGCCCATGGGCAACTGTGCCATCCTTGCCAGCAGGCAGCCTGTACCCAGGTCAGTATGTGGAGATTGGCTTTGGTGCCACATTTTGAGGCTTTTCCCTCATTCTGAGTTTTCTCATGTGTACATAGGGCCACTGGCTCTGAGGGCTATCCTGGGAAGGGAGAACAGTTCTGACACCTTGTTTTGGTTGTTCTAGACTGCCACCTTCACCATCAGTATCCTTGGTCTGTGAGCTACAGGCCTGGCAGGGGCTGGCATGGGCTACAGCACCACAGCCAAAGGCTTGGGCCTCACTGGTGTTATTTGACCGGGATCAAAGAGTGCTAAGTGGTCACTGGCGTATTCCACTTCGGGCCCTTCCTCTGGACCCCAGCCTTAGCCTTGGGCAGCTGAATTGGATTCCCCAGGTAAGTGTGGGTTAATGAGGACTGGGTCTACTCCAGGTACAGGTGCATTACTATTTCATCTCTCTCCAGGTAGGTCAGGCTGAGCTCTTTCTGCGACTGGTTAATGCAAGAGATGCAGGTGTCCAGACACTGGCAGAGATCAATCCAGCAAGTGCCCAGGAATACCAGTACCCACCTCTGGTGAGGGCCCACCAGGAGCTAGGGGCACCACAGGTGTGATTGGTGTGGTTAATTGCCGATATTTGCTGACCACCATGTGCCAAGTTATCAAGTGCTGTGAATGAACTCATTTAACCCTCATACATCCTATTAGGTAGATCTAGGTAAATGGATAAGGAAATCAGAGAACAATGAGGTTAACTTGATTTACATTGGGTAGTCAAGACAAACCTCTTGCTAAAGATACACTTTCTTCTCCCCGTTCCACAGATGTCCAGTTCGCCTTCACTGGAAGCCAGCTCCCTTGCCCCAAAAGCTGGCTTTGTTGATCCCCCTCCTCCCACAGAAGAGCCCCTCAGCAGTCAAGGTTTGAGACGAGGGTTTGGGCCCTCATCACAGCTTTGACTTACTCCCTCTGGCTTTGAGTCTAGGAAAATATGGGCAGGAGTAGCTTAACATGCAGAGATCTAGGATTTGAAGTTGCCAGACCTGCAGTTTTACTACTACACCTTCTGAAGGTCTAGGAGCAAATAGCAGATAAAAGCTCCAACGGCTTTACCACCTTTCAAAAATACTTTTGTAAAACAGATGTGGCGATTAAGTGAATGTAAGGTTATTTGCAATACTGCCTGGCATCTAAATCCTTTCAAAGATGAGCAAGGGCACTCTTTAATTCATTAAAGGAACTTGAACTTATTCCCACATGTTTCTTGCTAAAGCCTGTCTTGTTGCCACACTTCTTCATTCAAATCCAAGCTTCCTCAGGACATCCTCTGGGAAGCCATCCAGGCTCTAAAGGTCCCATAAACTAGGAGCTCCCATATCTTACACTTGTAGAGGGTCACTTGTGAAATCTGGCTGAAATTTGATATTAGGCCTAAAACTCTCAGGACTTGGTACATGCAATACGAAGGCATCTTCAGGAAGATCTGCAGCCATGAGTTACCATAACCAGCCCAGAAAAACTCCATTTTCTCTTGTATTTAGGGGACAAAATAATAAAGTGAAAAACTGCCTCTGACATTGGTTATTAAAATGGCAGGTTCTGACCTAGAGTCTAGTGCAGCAAAGTAGCCCTGTGGGTGGTCAGAATTAAATAACTCCCTTTAGGTAATGTAGGGCAGGCACTGTTTGGAATTCAGATCCAAACAATGCCTGATGCATAACACGTAATTGAACTAAGGGTCGGGTCAGAGGCAGCTCATATATGGAGGCTCTCCATTTACCTTGCATCCTGGGCATCTGTGAGGTCCTAATGGGATGGCTTTAGTACCAGTATCCTAAGCACCAGCACCCTTAGACTGGGCAGCCAGACTTTCAACCCCACCTTCCACATGGAAATACTCTAGGCAGTCAAGGATCCCAGTGAAGATCTTTTTTTTTTTTTTTACATTTAGTTGAGAGTAAGAGTGAGCAGAGGAGGGGCAGAGAAGGAGACACTGAATCTGAAAATCTTTAAACACAAGTTCAGACCAAGAGCTTTTTTAGCATCTTTATTTGAGAAGTCAAAACTGCAGATGGGGTAACAATTCGGATTCAAGTTGACAGTTTCAGCCTTTCTGTACAGAAAACAAAACTCCATCAACCAGCCTCCCCACAGATTCTCCCAAGCACATCCAAAGGGTCCAGTCTGTCCCTCAGCCACTTTCAAACCAGAAAGCTCATTTCTCTATAATTAGCACACCAGTTCTCAAGGTTTCCCCCACCACTCCCTCACAAGTTTTCTTCAGAGTTCTTTTTCCAGACAGGATTATTGGCCCCCAGTTGGAGACTAAGTGGATAAAAATACCAAGGGCTGACTCAGAGGCGGTTATCAGCTCACAAAGTCCATCAAACAGAAGTATCAGCACCAAAGAGCAAGATCTTCACCAAGTCTTGTTTTTGTAGCCCCCATCCAGGGACAGCACCACTGAAGGTTTGCAACACAGCTGAGTGCAGTATTTAAAATGGAAAAAGCATAGCACCATTGGAAGACAAAAGGCCTATAACCATGCTTGATTTAATCACCTCCACAATAGGTAGGAATTTGGATGAGAACAGTACAGAAAGGGAGTGGGGGGTGCCTTTGGCCACTATACAAAACCTGGAGCGTTCCAAGGCACAGATTCAGCCAATGTTTAAGAAAAAAATCATCAAAGCCTCAACCTTTGCTTACAATCTTTATTGAAGTTATACAAAAAGAATCCCCCCAAAGTGAAAAAATACATTATATACAAAAACACTTTCCCTCAGGAGGAAGGCTCTGCGCCCTCTCTTAACATGCAGTGCTTTCAAC